TTTTTTTTTTTACTTGCCCCCAGTAGAGTGCTGTAGTATCATAGCTCACAGCAACCTCAAACTCTTGGGTTCAGGTGATCCTCTTGCCTCAGCCTCTCAAGTAACTGGGACTATAGATGCCCACCATAATACCTGACTGTTTTTTAGAGATGGGGTCTCGCTCTTGCTCTGGTCTGGAACTCCTGAGCTCAAGCAATCCCACTGCAGCCTCCCAGAGTGCTGGGATTACAGGTGCGAGCTGCCCTGCCCAGCCTTATTTTACATTTTTAATATTCCCACATCTCAGGGTTTTGCTTGCTGCTGATGCTGAGGAGGCATTTGTATTTTTTAAGACATAATTTATATTTTTTACTTTGTTTTATTTTACAGAGAGAAGGACTTTCTAAATTCAACAAGATCTACGAATTTGATTATCACTTGTATGGCCAGGTATGTGCTAAAATATTTCCATCATGAAGCTGAAGTGTGCTTTCAGGTCCACATGTTACTTTGGTGTACAATCCTTGGGTTGAGCCTCCTCCCTAAATTACTTTAGAGTTCTTCAACCAAGAGGGAGTAGTCACTGTGTTAAGAGTAACTATTGTTATGACCTAAGAGTCCCTGGTTACAGGTGATCATTTCATAATTTATAAGGAAGTTTAATAAAATGTAATCAAATTTCCTCTTTTTGATAAAATATGGTCTCATATCAGCTCTTTATAATAAGAAACAAGCGAATACACAATAGCTTGAGGAAATTTTAAATGATATAGCAAACATCATAGTACTGGGATTAAAATGGTGATAGTCTTCTTTTTTTTTTGAGACAGAGTCTCACTGTGTCACCCTCAGTAGAGTGCTTTGGCATCACAGCTCACAGCAGCCTCAAACTCCTGAGCTTAAGCAATTCTCTTGCCTCAGCCTCCTGAGTAGCTGGGACTCCGGGCGCCTGCCACAACCTTCCGCTATTTTTTGGTTGCAGTTGTCATTGTTGTTTAGCAGGCCCAAGGGCTCAAACCCACCAGCTTTGATGTATGTGGCTGGCGCCTTAGCCAGTTGAGCTATAGGCGCCGAGCCAAACCCACCAGCTTTGATGTATGTGGCTGGCGCCCTACTCACTGAGCTATGGGCGCTGAGCCAAAATGGTGATAGTCTTGTATCATAGGTATTAAATAAAAAGAATAGTGATTATATTCCTATGGCTTTTGGCTTTTAAGAGCTATATTTATGTTTGCGTCTTCCTAGTCAGCTGAGTTTTGTTTTGTTTTTTTTTTAATTTCCTTTAATACAAATTCCTCCCTTTCGTTTGATGATTTGCCAAAATATAACTGCAAAAAGACTAACTTGAGTTTTGTCATCATTCAGAATGTTACCATGATAATGACTTCAGTTTCTGGACATTTGCTGGCTCATGATTTCCAGATGCAATTTCGAAAATGGTCAGTACAATTCGTTGGGGAAGGACTTTCAGATTATTACAGTAAATTTTGAAATATTATGGTAGTTTTCAGGCATGTTGATCTTACTATGTAATTTATAAGATGATCTAGAATTATCTAATTCATTGTGAATTTGCGTCAGATCTTTAGAATAAATAGATAACTTTTAAAGAATTCTCCCAAAATAGTCAGACCTTTTTCATGCAGTCATTAGATTGCTTTTATCAACTGCACACACCCATGATATGGTTCCAGAATGTTTTTGTAGCTCCTGTTGATCTTCATGGAGAAGCAGACAGTGTGCTTTGCAGAGGGGCATAGACTTCCTTTCAATCTGCTGGGTATCCACTGTGAACCCACTGGAGCAGTTTGTGCTGGTTGGAATGGGGGGGATTCTCCATTGCGAGCTGAGGTGGGACTCTGTTTTTTTTCTATTCTAGGCAGAGCTGCAATCCTCTTGTCCTCTTTGAAGCAAAAATTGAAAAGTACTGCCCAGAGAATTTTGTAGACATCAAGGTAGGTTCTTTTGAAGATATATGGCATTGAAATTGGAACAACCATAAAGAATCAAACTGAGCGATTTGTGTTTTGATTTTTGTTTTGTTTTCTTTGAGACAGAGTCTTACTTTGTTGCCCTTAGTAGAGTTCTGTGGCATCATAGCTCACAGCAACCTCAAACTCTTGGGCTCAAGCAATTCTCTTGCCTTACCCTCCCAAGTAACTGGGACTACAGGCGCCTTCCACAATACCTGACTATTTTTAGAGATGAGGTCTTGTTCTGGCTCAGGCTGGTCTCAAACCTGTGAGCTCAAGCATTTCTCCCTCCTTGGCCTTCCAGAGTGCTAGAATTACAGGTGTATATTTTTAATTCATTGGAATTTATAGTAAGGTTTTCCACCAAACTCAGTACCATAATTTAAAAAGTTAATTTCCACCTGTTTTATAAGTAAGGCTGTTTGAACTTTGTGACCAAGAGACTGAAGTAAGCCCTTTTTATGAATAGTAGTTATTTATATCCTAGGAATAAGTACTGTTAAATTATTAGTGCTAACCATCATCCCACCCCAAGTTAGAATGGAAGAGGCTACAAAGTGTAAATGGTTGTTTGACAGTAAACTGCCAATTCCTAAATAGTCAGGTCACCTACAGTTAATTCACTGCTAACTGGGACACCTTGGGATGAAATTCATTTGGCATTGGCATTTATTTTTAAAACAAGACATAATCAGAATCACCTAAGTTTTAAAAGACCTGAGTTTTAGGTCTCATCATATTGACAAAGTTATATTAAGTTCTTTGTCTTCTAAAAGCTTGTTTGTGGGCTCTGCACCTGTAGCTCAGTGGCTAGGGCATTGGCTATCTACACCAGAGCTGATGGGTTCAAACCCAGCCCAGGCCTGCCAAACAACAATGACAACTACAACCAAAAAATAGCCGGGCATTGTGGCAGGCTCCTGTAGTCCCAGCTACTGGGGAGGCTGAGGCAAGAGAATCGCTTAAGCCCAAGAGTTTGAGATTGCTATGAGCCGTGACACCACGGCATTCTACCAGGGCGACATAGTGAGGCGCTGTCTCAAAAAATCAATAAATAAATAAAAAGAAAAACTCATTTGTGGGTCTGGATTGTTATGCTAGAGACCTCATGGTGGCCCGCACTAGTATAAGCAGGTTTCTTTGACTTCTTTCCCTTGCCAAGATGACACACTTTGAGGACAGCGTTACTCTTCAGTCAGAGGTCTTCAAGTGTAAAGTTAGTGGGCTGCAATTCTCTTTCTCTCTCTCTCTCTCTCTCTCTCTTTTTTTTTTTTTTGGAGACGGAATCTCAGTTTATTCCCCTGGGTAGAGTGCCATGGTATTGTAGCTCAAAGCAACCTCATATTCTTGGGCTCAAGCAATTCTCTTACCTCAGCCTTCCATGTAGCTGGGACTATGGGTGCCCAGCTATTTCTTTTTTTTTAGAGATGGAGTCTCACTCTTACTCAGATTGATCTTGAACTTGTGAATTTAGACAATCCACCTGCCTCGGCCTCCCAGAGTGCTGGGATTCCAGGCATGAGCCACCGAGCCCAGCTATAATGGTCTTCTCACTGCTCTTTCCCCACCATGAACTTCAGAAAACTCTGGAACGAGAGACACGGCAGTGCCAGGCTCTGGTGATCTGGACTGACTGTGATAGAGAAGGTGAAAACATTGGATTTGAGATCATCCATGTGTGCAGGGCTGGTAAGTGCTGCTGCTACTACTGCTGTTGCATTTAGAATTTTGTCCTTTGGAATCCCATAGTGAAGTTCTCCTGTATATGTATACATGTGGGCTATGGCTGAGCTCCTCTGCAGGCATTCTTTGTCCTAGAGCAGATCACTAAAGCCTTGGGAGCCTTGACTTCCTCCTGTGGTGCCAATCGACACATATCCTAGGGAGGCTATGGGAATTAAACGAGTTAATGATAGTGTAGACCAATTAGCCCAGGGCTTATTCCTTCTTAAGTATAAGTAGATCCCTAGATTTTTAAAAACAGGGACCTTATAATCAATTTTTTTAAATTGGACGGTGCCTGTGGCTCAGTGAGTAGGGCGCTGGCCCCATATACCGAGGGTGGCGGGTTTGAACTTAGCCCCGGCCAAACTGCAACAACAAAAAAATAGCTGGGCGTTGTGGCAGGTGCTTGTAGTCCCAGGTACTTGGGAGACTGAGGCAAGAGAATTGCCTAAGCCGAGGAGTTGGAGGTTGCTGTGAGCTGTGATGCCATGGTACTCTACCAAGGGCAATAAAGTGAGACTCTGTCTAGTCTAAAAAATAAATAAATAAAGTTATATATTGAATATATGCAGAAGAATGGATATATTATTGTGGATATATGTATATATCAGCACTAGGATTACAGGCATGAGCCACCACAGCTGGCTTCTATTTGTTTTCTTAATCTCTCATGGTCATTGTACAATGCTTAACTATTAATAAGTAGTGATTAAAGTGGATTGGAGTGGCTACGACAGTGTTAGTGATTTCAGGTAACTTTGAGGAAGTGATGAACACACCATTCTCTGGCTCACATTGTGGGGTGGCTGTTTTCCCTAAGTGGTTTTGTATTGACAACTATAACGACTCCTGGAAATTTCAGTGCATTAACCTTCAAAAGTGAAATATATATATGTCCTATATTCTTTCCTAGAGGTACATGAAATGCCCCCATAGGACCCTTTAATTAACAAAGTTTTTCTTTCCCCTAAAGACCTGAGAGAACAAGTAAGATTGAAGTCTCAAAAGGCTCATCAAGTGAGTTGTAGTTAATAGCTAAAATTTACTCTGTGATTATGCTGATGTCACTCAGTTTGATGGTTATGGTAATGTTTCCCTTTTAGACACTAATTTAATTTGTAGGTAAATTGGGTGTGTCACAGTTTCTTGAACTGGTTTGCCTTTATTTCAAGGTAGTTTAAGAAAAGTAAGCCCTTTGTGATGGAAAGCAGTGGCTCTTACTTTGACCTTGGTGTCACCTTGTATTCCTTAGTGAAGCCCAGTCTGCAGGTGCTGCGAGCCCGTTTTTCTGAGATCACACCCCGTGCTGTCAGGATGGCCTGTGAAAACCTCACCGAGCCTGATGAGAGAGTGAGCAGTGCTGTGGATGTGAGACAGGAGCTGGACCTGAGAATTGGTGAGGAGCCAGACAGACCCCTCCCAGTGCTGTGGGGCACATTGATGTTGGTTTAGGAAACCAAAGATGAGGTTCTGTATAAATATACTTAGCCAGCTCTGACCTTGGTATCCCTCGTTTTCTCGTTCCTTCTTCCAACCTCACTATCCAGGAGCTGCATTCACCAGGTTCCAGACCCTGCGGCTTCAGAGGATTTTCCCTGAAGTGCTGGCAGAGCAGCTCATCAGTTATGGCAGCTGCCAGTTCCCCACGCTCGGCTTCGTGGTGGAGAGGTTCAAAGCTATTCAGGCTTTCGTTCCAGAGGCATTCCATAGGATTAAAGGTCAGGCTGAGGCTTGTTTCTGGATAGCACCTACCGGCCCAGGAGTAACAGGGGACCAGGGAGTGGTGTTAACAATACTAATTAGAAGTGTGATTTTTGGCCGGGTGCAGTTTCTCACACCTATAACCCTAGTACTCTGGGAGGCCAAGGCAGGTGGATCTCCTGAGCTCAGGAATTCGAGACCAGCCTGAGCAAGAGCAAGGCCCCA